CAGGAGCCCCACCGTTTCTGGTCAGTTAGGGGAGCTCTCTCCCTGTGTTGGGCTGGAGATGGAGGCACCTAAGGTGGACACGCATCCAAGGAGGCCAGGGAGAGGAGAGCGGAGACACGAGTGTGGAACCCCCCTCACCTCCTCACCCCAGCTTCCCTGCAGCCCCCCTCGGAGCAGTCTGGGAGACTCGCCTTTCTTGTCCTGCCTTCCGCCTCCCTCCCTGGTGACTGCAGAGAGGAGACAAGCCTGCTGAGCCACCCCAGCCACAGCCGGCCCTGTGGCCTGAAGGGTGACATGGCTGGGACATGGCCTGCCCCTTGGTCTCCCCTTCTCTCTGCCTTCATTGTAACTCCTGGCACTCCTGCCTGCTGCCTTCGGACTCGCCCCTCAGCCACCCGTCAGTGGGGCCCTGGCATGCCTGCGGCCTGTCGTCCCTGCCTGCAGCACCCCCTGTCCCCCAGGCCAAAGCCACTTTAAGTCCCTGGAGATCACAGAAGCGGCCACCTGCTAAGCGTGGGTGGAAGTTGGGGTTTATCGCGTTTCTGTCTAGCTGAGACCTTGCACACAGCAGGTCCCTGATGAGCATCGGCTGCATTAAATTTCTGTGAACTTAGGTTTGTTCTAACCTCCTTTCTTTCTGTCCTCAGGCTCATAATGGGGATCTTACAGCCAGGGAGACCTGCAAAGCTGGATTCTCCGAAGAAGATTACACGGCATTAATCTCCCAGAATATTCTGGAAGGAGAGAAGGTCCTCAAAGGTAGGGCTGAGGGGAGGAGCGGGGGAGAATTGCACACCTTGCTATGGACAGGGGAAATGTTTTGATGGAAAATGCCAGGCTAGGCTGCCTTTGAGCCCCTAGTTTTTGCAGAATGCTGGTTGTGAGGTCAGCGAGTTGTGGATTGGGCGACCTGAAAAGCGTTTTTGCATCAAAGGTGAATGATTCAGAATCCCTGTCATTTCTGAGTGAGGTGAATCATTTCCTGGGCCCCAGATTAGAATTCGAATGTCACGTCACCCAAATACTGTGCAGAGAGGAGACTTTCTTACTAAGTATTTTTATGTATGAAATTCTGGATTCTTAAATTATCCTCGCTTTGAAATGCACGGTGAAGCAGACGATGTTGATGGAAATGTGGTAAATAAGCCCACAGACGTGCTGTTCGCAAACGTGGCATTCCTTTTCATTACTGTCCCACCGACAACACGAAAACACACACGCAGGATGGCACTGCCAGTTAGTGTTACCGCCGCCGCACGAGTCTGTCCATGCTGTGATGGGGGAGTCAGACAGCTTCAGAACTCCGATGACAGCAGATCATTCGGCATATTGATCTGTTTCCCTTTCTAGACAAACTTAATTAAACTTTATATTTGCATGGGAGGGGAAATTAATCAGTGCTTCCGTCCCTCAGGTTTCCAAGTCAGACCCCAAGCACCTTGGCTATGCGTCTTCCCTCCTAACATCGGTTTCCCAGAATGTGGCAGCGTTTAGCTGATTCCAAAGGGGTGGAGGAAGCGAACTTGAGATCGAGCATCAGAGCTAGATTTCAGCATTCACGACTGAACAGTCCTGAGACTGCTGACTTTCTCCCTAGCTTTGTGTTTTAGGGAATATAGGATTTTCCCTCGAGCGCTGACAGCAGCTCCTCTGTGTGTGTGAGGTGGTTCTTTAGACACTCTTGCCTTGGAGACAGAGCTTGTTGATGTGTTGGTTCCGGTTATATGAATCAGGATTTTCATTTGGCACTGAATCCAGTTTTTATTATTTGTTGTCGTCTGAGTTGACTGCTAAAGAAGGGGTATGATACTATTCACTCTTTCATTGATTACCAAACAAATAAAATAAAATAAATAAAGCGCTCTGGGCAGTTGGCCTAGAAGGAATGGATGTGCTGAATGAGTGGGCGTCCGTGGTAACAGTGTTCAGGAGACGCTCTGGGAATGGCACTGAGCTTGTCATCTTAGAGTTGGAAAGGCGAGGCCGTCTCGCAGGCTCTGTGTGTTTACTGAGAATCCCTGCGTGCCTGCAGAGAAGGCCCAGAAGATTCTCTCACCCTCAGTGCATTGCACTGTCGCAAATAACAGGAGACACGTGCGGCAGTGCGCCGTTTCCATGTCCGGAGGCTGACATCCTTGTGCCTCCCCAGGTATGGAGCTCAACATGATAAGATGTCGGAGCATCAGTTTTACTGAGGAAAAACTGCCTCATTTTAGTAACAACAGGTGCTGCCTACTACGGAAGAGAATGACAGATCCTCGTACTTTTTATGATAAACTGAGATTTCAAACGAGTGTCTTCTGCCTCTCGTGGTGGGTGGTATGGGTCCAGGTTGAGCTGGGTGTGGAGTCTTGGCCGCTGGCTGAACACCTAGGTGGCTTTCGCCTAGTGGGAGATGAAGGCCCGTCACTGTCGGTGGACTTGGACCGGCTTCTGGAATTCGCGATGTGAGACTTGTTTTCTAAGCGCCTAAACTGAGAGGAGGCCCAGCCCGACCCAGGTTGAAGAGAGAGTTACAGAGGGTGTCCCTGCGGCGTTAGGGGTCCTGCAGTTCCCCTCCCTTGGGGGGCGGGCTAGAGTGCCACAGTTTCCCCCGCACCTGAGGGGTGCGACGCCCTCTCTGTTTCCTTCCTCTGGCTTTTCTTCAGGTGAAGAATCTCAGGGATAAAGAGATGTTTTAAATATTAGAATTTACTTTGCACGTATGGAGGCGAAAGCTGACGTGCGCTCAAACCAGGGCAGATAAAAATTTCTCCATTTTCGTAGAAAATTTTGCAAACCACAAGACCCCAGCAAAGATGCATGTGTCAACCATAAGTAGAAGGCACGGTATTCCTGTTATTCTGGTAGGAATCGAGTTAAATAGATAATGACGACGTGTAATTGAGTTACTCCAACAGAGAGAGCTTAACCTTAACTCGATGAGCGAAGCTTCAGAGAGTCGCCGTTTTGTTCTAAGTGCGCTGTGAGCCATTAACGACTGCTCTGTGGCTCCTTCTCTGCCCCAGCCGGCGTACCAGCACCCCCACACACCCAGATTCCAGAAGGAGTGATTTGTTACACAGTAATTAACTTGTTTATGATAAATGGATGGAAGAAATGTCGTGGCATTTTGTTTTATGTCGAAATGTAACGCATTTGCATGCTAAAAATTTCATGCTAATTAGGCTTAAAATAGTTTTCCCCAATAGGGTTGCAGATCCTATGGTATTGCGAACCTTTTCAACAGTGGATCTGCTACGTATGACAATGTGGGGCATTCATTTAGCTGATTTGTAACGTACCTAACCCCCCCCCCCCAATCTGGCGCACCCTTGGGTGTTGCTGTGCATACCTTAGGAGGTGGTTTTGTTTTCAGGTTAATTCACTTATGGCCATGATCACTGGGGCATGGTAATGTCTAAAATAGGACTGTGAAGCCGGTTTCCTTAGGCTAAAACAGAAGGTTCTCTAAGCCACGGTGCAGTTGGGGCAGTTGCTAGGCTGGTGTCTTGTTCTCTGCCTCGTTAATAATTGACTGTCAGCTCGCCAGAGGCTGCAGTGACGGAGTGACCGGCACTGTGCTCTCTCTGGCGGGCAGAGCTCTGGGCCCAGACCAGTTTCGTGCTGAAAAGCCTGCAAGGACGGGAATGTGACAGGCGGCATTGTGGGATCCCAGGACTTGGGGGTCCTATCCCCCCTCGCTCCTGGAGAAGAGGGTGACAGGTGAGGAGAAATGTCTGCTGGACACAGGAGAGAGTGGAGTCTGGACATTGCCTGAGGAGAGCAGGTACCCTGTGTGTTCAAACACTGTCCAAAGAGGAGCTTTGTTCTGATGACTTCATTGAATGAGACTTCCTCAGAAAAGCCTTCCCCCACCCCCTCACGCACCCCCTGCTAGTTTAAGACCTTTGCAGGATTTACACCATTCGGTCAGTCTTCTTTTACTTAAACAGAAAAGCTCTTGAGGGCAGCCGCCCTGTCGTGCTGGTTTGCGATTTCTATCATTTCCGGATGTTCTTGGCCAACAGGAAAAAAACCAATAAAGAAACAAATGGGGGTTAATGTTTCTCACATAACAGTGAAGAGGTTGGTGGTTGAGGGCTGGAACAGCAGAGCTGTGGCAACTTCTCATGCCTAATCTTTATTCTTATCATTCTACCATCTTTAGTTTGTCAGTTTGTTCGTTTATTTCCTCGTCATTGCAAACGGGCTGCCGTGGCTCCGCGCATTGCTTTTGAGTTCAGAGCAGGAAAATGGGGGAGTGGGCGCACCATCTGCACTTCTTCTCTGCATCAGGAAAGCCAGCACTTTCTCAGAACCCTTGCAGCAGTTTTCATTGGCTAGAACCAGGTCACATGCCACTCCCAGCTGACCGCAGTGGGAGGCTGGGAAGCAGAGAGTTGCATTGTCATGTTTGGCTTAGACCTAGTATGACCCATCACCTGGTCAAGGAGCATATCGCTACTTGGAGCAGAACTGAGGTTCTGTTTTAGGACAGAAGACGGGAGGACTGGATGCCCAGGAGACCAGCGTCAGCGTCTGCCAGGAAGGTTTCAGGAGCTTCCAGCACCCTCCCCAAGCAGAGTGGACAGGCAGTGCTTTGTTGAATTCATGGCTCATTTGCATAACAAGGCACACAGAGAGAGGCAAGGTTGAGGAGACACCAAATGCGGGTGTCGCCAGTGGGCATCTAAGAATTTGCCACAAGGTAATTGGTGTGGACAGAAGTACCATTATCTTGTCTTTACAAGTGTGTTGGAAATGGCCTCTTTGCCCACACAGGTTGGCTCGACCCACGTCTGTGCAGACAGGTAACTCTTGCCAGGGCGGAAGGCGTCGCTGGACGCATGGGCCGGAACTAAGCAAATCTTATGGCACACCCAACTCCCAGTGTCATGCCTGACTTGCGTTGTCGTGGGTGTGCAATCAGGATTGTCAAATGAAGTAATGAATGAGCCATGAAATGCTGGCACTGTGGCGTTTCTGAGTCCCCTGTTCACTCACAGACAAGCAGGAGCTGCTGTGGATGTTCAAATAAATGACACCAATGATAGGCCAACCACATATGATGAGAATTACTAGACACTGCAAGCTGCCTGTACAAGAGCCGTTCTCTCCCTCTTCCTTACTAACAGAACCTCGTCTGTACTGCCCCATTTGACTGGCACGGAGCCCTGTTTAAGATACTCCCACCTCTAGTAGACTCTCGTACCCAAAGGTGGCACCATGGCCCCTTTCCGGTCAGCGGGATCTAATTAGATTATTCTACTAGATGAGGCTTCTGGGAAAGCTTTTCCTGAACTGACTCAGCGGGCCATGCTTTTTGCCTTTACCTCTTCCTCCTGCCTGGAATACAGACGTGCTGTCTGCGGCAGAGCAGCCATTTTGTGACTGTGAGGATGGTGGCACAGGAACTAGGTCCCAGGTGGCACCCTTGAACAACTATAGAGCTCTGGGTTCATTTTCCTTGGAGAGAAGAGAAAAACAGGTTGAAACACCACAGTCTTGTCCTCACACAGTTAAATAATCTCCGACTTAGGGACAACAAGAGCTGTGCACCCTAATGAGTACCTGTCTTTCCGTCTGCCAGCTCAGATCACATCATGTCACCCTCTGCCCTGAGCCTGGGTCTCCAGCTCCCTCTGACCATCCTCTGTGCCTTGGGCCTTGGCCCTGCTCTGGTTTAGTTGCCCTCGCTTCTTTGTGAATCAGTATCTGTGCCCAGCTCGCTGGGTTGCAGAGAGCGTGCCATGGGCACTGGGTAAATATTTGTTGAC